GAGACATACTTCTTTCATTATTCTCGAAACCGGAGTTTCCAAAAAACGTAAAGCTGGTTCAAACAGTTTCGACTTCAAGCATAAACAAAATAAGCAAGAATGTAATGAAGTCAACTCTCCCGGCTCACCAATTATTGCATTTATCGCGCCACTCAATAAAAGAATTCCCCGCGAAATCTAAACCGATCATTTAGGTTTGAACTGAATAGTACTTTTTAAGTTCATAATAATACATTTTAAAGCTATAGCAAAAACCATTCAGAAGAGGGCTAAAATAAGGCCGGGTACACTTGTTTCCAGAAATGAAAGATGAATAAGCAAATAAAGGGTAAAAATACTGAGGTTCTTCATTTGCGTACCATTAAGACTTTTTGTAAAGAAAGGTGATAAATTCTTCGAAACAATTTGACATCTGAAACTTCAAAAATTAGTAACAAAGCAATAAACAGTTGAAGAAGAAACAAAAAAGAGGGCGCATGTTAAGGTGGTACCAGGAGGAACATGGTACTTCTTACGTGCTCATTGAAATTAATATCTGAAAACCGAATACCAAGATTGAAACAGAGAAGTAAAATGACATTTTTAATGTGGTTAGAAAGAAACAGAGAGAAAACTTTACAAATATCCGGAGCAAGAATAATTTGCGTCCTATTAAAGAATGGTAAGAACATTTCTATTTGTGATAACGTTTCTTCGATCTAAAAATAAAATCCATGGTAAACGCTATACAGTAACCGGTAAAATTACTTTCAGAAATTATAGCCCTTGATAAACTATAGTTGAATGGTAAAAAGGTAATGTTACAAAACCAAAAAATAGTATTGTGATTTACATTAGAAAAACAGCTGAAGAAACATAAACATAAATTTTTTTAACACAAACTTCTTCTGAATTAGCTGCAGAACAAGCCTGATTCAATTTCGCCAAAAGGATAGTGACAAAAGAGAGGGAGTGCTCTTCCACATTAAGCATCTCTAAAATTTGCGTTAAAGGCACACCGCTTTTTTCCAATACATCGGTCAGTGCTTTTCTGTTCAGTTCAACTAACTCTCGATAACTCTCTAAAACGATCTTTGTAGTAAAGTTGTAATGTGTTTCAATATATCTTAGAAATATAATCGCAAGTGGGTTACGTGCATCAGCAAATAAATTTGTCTAAGAGTTAAAATAACTCTCACTTACTTTTATAAACCCATACCCGATCCTCATAAAAGCTACTTATACAACTTATAGAAATCTCTATCAGACAAGTACCAAATGTTAAACGAGTAATTTAACCACAACGAATATGAACAAATTTAACAAGGGATAACAATCATACTTACCGGCACTTGTAAAGGCAATGACATTTTTTACATAATTGTCCAGTCCACCTGACATCGTTACAGAGTAGCCTAAAAAACTAATTTAAATCTTCATGCATCTTCAGAAGCGAAATAGAAAAAAGCAAATTATTAGCAACCAGACTAGAGTTTCTCTATTTTAGGAACACTAAATCGTCAGTAATCAAACGTAGTCACTAACTCGGAAATCACTTGAGTAGAAAATGTATAAATTTATTGATTGTAGCGCTCAGATGCACAGTAGGATGAATTACCCTACTGTACTTACTAGCTCAATTTTGGAGATTGCCAGAAATTGGTATTCTAAGGTCAACCGTTACTGCAGGGGATATTGTACTTTAAATCATTATACATTTTCTATGGTGGGACGCGTGCCAACTTTTTCTTCCTATGATCAGTAAGTAGCGAATGAAAACGTCCACTAGAGGATTGCATATGGCTCAGCTAAACCAGAATGTTGCTGTAATCATATTATATGATAACCAAATTTTTAGCCAAACTGTTGGTAAAAATTTGTATATGAAGGTAAATTTTTATAAAAGCGAAAAAGAGAGATTTAGAGTGTTCCGTAATCTGTAAAACGATCGTTCTAAGCGGAAAATATTCACAAACCGGAAGGCAACTTTACTAAATTTATAGTGTAACGCTTAATGGAAGTGATATGTTCGAAAGAAATTTAGACAGCTACTGTTGCACTTTTAATGAAAAACCTCTATAAACACAAGCGTACGAGAGGAAAAAAAAATAAAGAGGAAGCAAGAGCTTCACAGAAATTAAATGCAATGCTTCAACAAACGCCAAATCCTTCCCAGCAATAGGAAATTTCAAGGTACATATAAAAAGGACAGATGTATAATATGCAGCTGAGGTTTTTTCGGGAACAGGCATTTTGCCAGCACCATTTATTTCCGCTTCGTTCATTTAGCATTAAGCCATTCGTCTACAGCAATGCTGGATACTGCGCGGTATCCCAAAGGGATACCTTTCAGCTTAGCTCTTCTGTTACCTCTGAAACCTATGATTATGTAAACGTTCAACTTTCATTCGTACCCTTAGTTGTAGTTTTTAACTGTATTACTTTTTGCTTTAATAATTACTTATTTTCGTGTAACAAAGCTTCCCACCTACGACCACCTACAGTAAAAGTCGGAATCTGAACGGAAGGAGTGCGCATTTCATTGGAACTCATTGTCACTAAATTTCTTCTTTGATTTCTCGCAGTGTTTTTTTGGAAAGGTTTTTACTACCAAAGTGTTGTATTGTGTAAAGAAGAGAAGTATGGTGACAGTGCTAGTGTTAGTATTTGGTGGAATATTAGCATCGTAATATATTAAATTTGGTGCTTCAATTTTTTTCCAGGTTTCGATAGAATTAGTGCTATCAGCTGTGATGGAACAAGAAATTCCCCAACGAAATGATCCTGTTGCGTTGTGGAAACGAGCCACGGTTGATGGGAAAAAGCGTTTTGAGTATCCTCGTTCGCATTTTTACCCCCATCCCGATGATGTGAAGTAAACCTTATAAAATTAAAGATTACAGTGACAGCTGGAAAAGTGTGAGTGGAAGTGATGTTGGAGTTGACCTTTTCATAGGCTTCGTTACTTTTTTTTAAAAAACATCTTTAAAAAAGCCTTCTAACTGGTTGTTGCTTAAAATAAACTTTTTACCCTTCACGAATGAACGGGCATTTGAAATTGATATTAGTTGTTAACTCTTCATTTTCCATTTTAAGATTGAATGTACTGTTGAAATAATGATGCTTTCTTTTTTTTTTTGAATACCAACATTTTAATTGTTCACGTTTTTCGGAAATTTTTTTTTTTAGTTTAGGAAAGATTTGGTTTTTTTTCCCTAATCTGTCTTTCAAGCAACAGACTAAAACATGTGATTCTTAGACAGAATGATCCGAATTTAGCCATATGCTGTGACTAACAAATAACTTATTCAGTTACTGGAGATTTGATTGAGTTGCGTTAATGCTCTATCAGCATAAGAATAAGACATGCTGTTAACGTAGTGAAGATTTTGTTAATAAGTTTTACTGTTGGATTTTAAAGTGTTGGTCTTTTTCAGTTGCTTACTCACTTTCAAACTTTTTAAAACCTAGATAATTGTTTCTTCGATATAATTTGCCTTGGGATTAATTAAATTAGTTTCGAGGAGCAAAAGGGGATTTTATTTTTTCAGTTAGTTTTACCATGTGAATTTAGTGGTATTTGGGGGATGGCTTAAGTGCATTGTATTCAGAAGATTGCTTTTT